TTGTGCAAATTGTCAGGGGTGTCCCGTTTTGACAAAGAAGGAAGAAAAGACCCTTGAAGGACCTACAAATTCGGTGGGGTGGACGCTTGAGGGCATCTCAACAGGTTACAAATGGGATGAGTTCAGCCTTAGGCCCTCTCTCTTCCTCCCACACACACACACACAAAAAAAAACAACAGTTTTGAACAGTTAAGGAGACTGTTTTTTCTGGTGGCCGAAAGGAATCAAGAATGAACTACCTCTGCCTAACGTGCCTTGATTTGCTTTATTTATTAAATTAATTCTTCGCATAACCCCACCGTCGAGCGACTCTGGGAAGCTAAACTCACATGGCTTTAACGCAAATGCAAACCAGAAGAAAAACGAAGTATGCGGAGGCCACTTTTTGTTGTTGTTGTTTAGAACTGCAGAAAAAAACAATTGCTACCAACCTGCCTTCCATTGAGGACCTGTATACTGCACAAGTCAAAAAGAGGGCTGGGAAAATATTTACAGACCCCTCGCATCCTGGACATAAACTGTTTCAACTCCTATCCTCAAAACGACACGATAGAGAACTGCACACCAGAACAACTAGACACAAGGAACGTCATCACTCCGCTAAACAACTAAATCCCACAACACTGTCAAACTAGTCACTAAGTCTGAATTACTATTACTATTAATCTTCTCATCGTTCCTATCACCCATCTCCTCCCACTTATGACTGTATGACTGTAATTTGTTGCTGGTATCCTTACGATTTATATTGACTGATTCGATTGCTTATTTGTACCCTATGACTATCATTAAGTGTTGTACCTTATGATTCTTGATGAATGTATCTTTTCTTTTTAGTACACTGAGAGCAGATGCACCAGAGACAAATTCCTTGTGTGTCCAATCACACTTGGCCAATAAAAGAACTCTAGTCTATATATTCGTGGCTTAAAAATGCAGTTTTCCCGTTGCTGCAATTTTGGAGTTTGAAAAACAGGTTCGCTCGGACTTTTATTGTGGGTAGTTTTTCGAGGGCCTTGTAACTTTCCTCCAAATGCACCTGTTGTCTTATTGCGGGTGCTGCTTAAAACATCCTTTAAAAAAAAAAAAAACCACAGGAGGAAGAGTTGCTTTTGAGAAAGGACAAAGGCTCTCTTGCAGAGATGACAAAGAGCCAATCTGCATATGGATGGATCGGTTCCTTTTCTCCCACACAGATTGTGTGTGTGTTTGTGTGTGTGTGTGTGTGTGTGTGTACAGGTCTATCCCAAGCATATTCTTCTTTCAGATTTAAATTCCTTGCAAGGACAGATGCAAGGTGGCAGGAATTAGAGGTATGGCTAGTCTCGTGAAAAGAAGGACTAGGGGAGACATGATAGCAGTCTTCCAATATTTCAGGGGCTGCCACAAAGAAGAGGGAGTCAAGCTCTTCTCCAAATCACCTGAAGGCAGGACAAGAAACAACGGATGGAAACTCATCCAGGAGAGAAGCAACCTAGAAACAAGGAGAAATTTCCTAACGGTGAGGACAATTAACCAGTGGAACAGCTTGCCACCAGAAGTTATGGGTGCTCCAACACTGGAGATTTTTTTTTAAAGAAAAGACTGGGCAGCCACTTGTCTGAATTGGTATAAGGTCTCCTGCTTCAGCAGGGGTTGGACTAGAAGACCTCCAAGGTCCCTTTTCAACTCTATTCTTCTGTATTTTAATGGTGTGGGACTTTTCATTCCCTTAACCAAACAGCCTTGAGTTTCCTTCTGACATCTTCTCTTTCGTAGCTCTGAAGTTCTGCAGCCAATTTATTGCTGCGGTTATTTATTTCCAGGTTCATCCCAATTTTCCTTGGAAATAAATGTAAACTATGGAGCTACCTATCCGGGTAAAATATTTCCATGATTGTGGAGGTGCACAACAGGAGAAAAAGAAAGGAAAAAAACTCCTTTTTAGAGGGGAGGTCAAAACCCTAATTTTCTCCTCTCGCTTTTTGTTTTTTTACAGGTGATGAGGGGCTCTCCGTAATTAAAATCTAAAAGCAGAAACAGCAAGCAATTTTCATGCAAGAATCGTGGTCAGTTAATCTTCCTTCGGGATAAAGAAGCAAAAAGCTAACTTTCTACCCTTCACGGATGCATTATTAAGGGCTGATCAGAACTTATTTTGCTGTGACTTTGTGCATTTCGGTTTTGCCATTGCAGGCGTTTTAAGTACAGCGTGGAGGTTCAGCCTGCTGCGTTTGGAGACCCAAACCTGTTGCTGGAGGAGACCAACTCAAAATCAAAAGAGGAATCGATTCACATCGGATTGATGGGTTGACATTCCCTCGGAGGTTAGCTTCACCCCTCCCTCCCTGCCTATCTTGTCCTCCTTACTGAACAAGCCAGGAAGGGGAGAGAGGGAGAAAAAATACTGATCTGGGTTGCAGCCCCACTAACCAGGAAGCATGAAATGCTGAGCTACCAGATGTTTAATGGAGCATCCACGAGAGGGTGATAACATCTTTCGGAGAGGCGATCTAAAATGCAGCAAAACTGTCTTTTTCCGGGAGATTTAGTGAGTTCCGTTTTGCTAGTCAAAACAACCAGGTTCAGGTTTCAGGAGGTTGATATTTGGAGAGAGGGAGGGAGGGAGGAAGGGAGGGGAAGAGAGAGAGAGAGTGCGCACATGCACCCACAGGCATGGCAACAAGTTATCTGAACATTGCCGCCACTTGGAGAAATGGGGGTTCAGATCAGGGGTGAAATCCAGCAGGTTCTGACAGGTTCTGGAGAACCGGTAGCGGAAATTTTGAGTAGTTTGGAGAACCGGCAAATACCACCTCTGGCTGGCCCCAGAGTGGGGTGGGAATGGACATTTTGCAATATCCTTCCCCCAGGAGTGGGGAGGGAATGGGGATTTTGCAGTATCCTTCCCCTGGAGTGGGAAGGGAATGGGGATTTTGCAGTATCTGTCCCCCAGGAGTGGGAAGGGAATGGGGATTTTGCAGTATCCGTCCCCCAGGAGTGGGGAGGGAGTGGAGATTTTGCAGTACCCTTCCTCTTCCTCCTCCTCCTTTTTCCTCTTCTCACAGTGCAAATCCATCTGAGTGAAACGCTAGTAAGTTCCAGTTGCAAGATAAAACGGATGCATTACTTTTGCTGGATATTTTTTCCTTCCAGGTGCTGCACCCCACTAAGAACCTCGTGAGGTAGACAGCAGGCCAAGTGAATGCAACTGGCTTCTACGAATCCTTAAGAAAGGGGGTACCATCTTGTGGAGGGTCTATTAAAGAGCAGGTCAACTCTGGATAAATTCTCTTATCTCTGGTTTCATCAGTCAAAATTCCCATTTATTTTAACCCAGCTTCAACCTCAGGCAGTTTGAATCAGCTGAGAAAACAGCACCCTCTAGCGTCCCCCTTTTGCCTTAAAAGTTTCATTCCATTTTTATTTTTCCATTTTCTTTTAACTTTTCCCCCCAATTACAGGTCTCCAGCACTGTCAAAATTCCCCAAAGGTACAAAAATCCAAAAATGAGTGTCTGCAGCACCCATATAGATTCTGATGCTCTAGGAATACAATCAAGCAACATATAAATCAATATCTATATATATTTTCCCCTAAGAAGTTTGGCAGTTTCAGTTAGGAAAGGAAAACTTAACAGGAAAGAACGGTTTTTTTAAAATGCTTATCCACACTTGATGTTCATTGGCCAATGTTTGGGCATTTAGCATATTAAAATATGTTTTAATATTTTGTTTGTATGCCACCCAGAGTCTCTGTGGAAAGGAGATGGGACAGTTTCAAAATCTGATTAAGATATACGGATAGACGGATAGACATACAGACAGACAGACAGACAGATAGAGATAATAGATAGATATAGATGATAGATAGATAGATAGATAGATAGATAGATAGATAGATAGATGATAGATAGATATTATTTATTTATTATTTTTTCTTTTATACCGCCCTTCTCCCGAAGGACTCAGGGTGGTGAACAGCCAAGGTTAAAATACATACAGTATGAAAATTAAAATGATTTAAAAAATGATTAAATTAATTTGGCTACCCAATTTTAAAACCCCTTACCCATAAAATTAATCAATTAAAATCTTAAACCAGCCCAGCTCACTGATAAATAAATAGATAGATAGATAGATAGATAGATAGATAGATAGACAGATATGATAGATAGATAGATATGATAGATAGATAGATAGATAGATAGATAGATAGATAGATAGATAGATATGATAGATAGATAGATATGATGGATAGATAGATAGATAGATAGATAGATAGATGATAGATAGATAGATAGATAGATAGATAGATAGATAGATAGATAGACAGACAGACAGACAGACAGACAGAGAGACAGATAACATAGAGATTGGATGGATGGATGGACGGATGGACGGACAGATGGACGGATGGGGAGAGAGAGAGAGAGATGAGAGAGATGGTAGATAAGAGAGATTGGATGGATGGATGGACAGATGGACAGAGACCGACAGACAGACAGACAGACAGACAGATAACATAAAGGATGGCTGGATGGATGGACAGACAGAGACACACACAGAGAGAGAGACAGATAATATAGAGATTGGATGGATGGATGGAGGGAGGGACAGAGACAGACAGAGAGACAGAGACAGATAACATCGAGATTGGATGCAGGGATGGATAGATAGATAGATAGATAGATAGATATATAGATAGATAGATAATAGATAGATAGATAGATAGATAGATAGATAGATAGATAGATAGATAATGAGATAGATAGAATATGCCTCGGTTGTGTAGCTTTTGGGGAGTGGTTTCAGGATTTAAACTGTTTGCAAAAAAGTATAAGAGACACGCTGATCCACCAGTGTGCCTCTGAAACTCTAAAATATGCCAAAATGTTACTGATAGAATGGGGAAAAGAATTATGCCTAAATCAAAAACATGATGATGATGATGATGATGATGATGATGATGATGATGATGATGATTTGGTGCAAAACAAATGCCACTCTCCAAGCAGGAGGTAAATATAGCCTTTTACTGTCAGCAAAGGGGAACATGGAGGCTGTTTCATGTATCCTTTTAATTGCAGGCTCTTCAAACCGGACGGTGAGTGAGAAAAAGCAATTAAAATGTCCTGTTGATAAAACTCTTTGCTGACCATTCTGTTCCTTTCTTCTTCTTCTTCTTCGTGGACCATCGTCCTGTCCATCCTTAGTTGCCATTCCTTGTTCACCGACGGTCCAGATGTTCAGTCCATTGGGATTTTGGTTTTTTTTAAAAAAAATAAATCAATAAAAATCACTTGCCATCATTAGTTTCCATGTCATGAATTAGAGGGTTTCCCCCCCTGCACTTGTCTTTATTCCTTTTAGTTCCTCAAATAAGTCACCTCCTTGCCCGTATTAGAAATTAGCTTTCGGTTTCCATTCGCAGGGACCAGTCCTTCTGCTTCTGTACTTGGAGCAGCATCTCAGGAGGCTTCCAATGCTTGTTTTCTTTCTTTCCAGAAGAAAAACGAAGTGACCAGAAGGTTGGCTTTCCTGTGCACTTCTCCAAAGCATTAGTAGAAATGGAGGCCAGCCGTAGTTTGTTGGCTCTTTCAACTTGGCGTAACGGCAGGTGCTGACCCCCACCCCCCACCCCCAAGTCCAACTTGTGGCTTCTACAGAAGCCATGGAAGCCAGACCAGTCCCACCAGTCTTCCTGGAGTGGCTGGCTGGTCTTGTTCGTCACATGGGATGGACGGTGCAAAATATTGTGCTTCCTGATTCGTTACTTCCCTCACCATCTTCCTCTTGGGAGTTCCTACACATGAGAGACTCCTTTGAATCACTCCAGCAGGAGCTGTCCAAATCCGGGAAAAACTCCAGTGAGTAAATGCTTCCAGTTTCATCCAAGTAGAGACTTTCGGGGGAATGGCTCTGATACATGTAGCTGATGGCACTTTTATGGTTGAGTGTGAGGTCCGGCGGTGTGGAGCTCCGGGCTTTACACTCAGTCTCTGTTGGTTTCTCGGGCGCCGTCCATCCAGAAGAAGCCAACTGGTTGGTCTGAGAAGGAGCGAGGACAAACTTTGTCTCCACACAGTGGGTCTGGATGGTGTAAGATTTCAGGTCCTCCTTCAAGGGCCTTCAAGCAGACAAGAGGAGAGAGAACGTCACCATAAGACACAATCAGGGGTAAGATTCAAAAATTTCAGCAACTGGGTCTCTGCCTGGTTGCTGGGTGGGCGGGGACAGGGTGGGAAATGGCAACTGGGAATGTTTTATGAAAATCAGATGATCTGTTGGCCAAGTGAGGTCAAGTAAGCTTCCAGTCCTTCTGGTTCAAAATGAAGGAACCCAAGAAGTTTCTTCATACCAAATCAAATTATTGGCTCATTTCCTTCATGCTATAAATACTATCCAACAGAACTGAGCCATGATGTAAACCATGATTCATTCCATAAGCCACAGAGGCTGAGCTCTCACCCTTTCTCCAACATCCATCGGTGGGCATTCATACTCACATGTCTTTAGTGAAGAGTCTAAAGTGGAGCAAGAGGCACCCAACGACCAAAAAGATCAAGAGGACCATGAACAGACACATAATGCCAATGAGGAGATCTAGCTTGACTCTCTGCTTCTCCATGGAGTCGTCTAACAAGAGAAAGTTGGTTGAAAGCAGAAGTGCCACTTAATTAATTAATTAGTTAATTCATTGGACTAACGTTTCCATCCATCTGAGCTGAAAATCAAAGATACACCATGACAAACATCTAAAAATAACCCTTCAAGCATTTCCAAAGACTTGGCTTTGGAACGGGGAAGTCAAGACTACTGACTGGAAGCGGTGGAGAAGAAGACTTCTCTCCTGAGCTCTGAATTCAGGGATATTGTCAAGACAGCAGTTCCCACAGACCTGAAAGTCTGAGAAGGTGTGGAGATATGGAACCCCTTCTTACAACTTCACCCAAAGTATTCCCCAACTGACCAGTTCCAGAGATGGAACCTTCAGAGTGATTCTGGGCTTTCTACTTTTTCACTGCAGGGGTTTCCAACCTTGGCAACTTTAAGACTTGTGGACTTCAACTCCCAGAGTTCCTCAGTCAGCTTTGCTGGCTGAGGAATTCTGGGAGTTGAAGTACACAACTCCAGTGAAGTTCCATTTCTGATGTCCTTGTGGAAGACATATCATGGCACATTTAGGTAATTTTCTCAACCACATTATGGAAAGCATTTCTTCTTGACTTCTTGTAAAGTCCTTAGCCTTGAATTTGTTCCTGGTCTCCCATCTAGGAATTAACCTAGTCCCAGTTTACTTAGCTTCTGAGCCTTTTTAGGAGGAACACAGGAAGCTGCTACCTTCCCAGCAATGCCTCTGGTCCATCAACCCCAGGAATGTCAATAAACAGGAATCTTCTCCTGATGTATTAGGAAATATTGGGAACGGAGTCTTTGGATTGCAAAGCATTTATTCGACCAGGATCAATTCTGCCTAATTTATATAAAATTTATACTAGCTTTACAGGAAGCATCTGATGCTCACCCACCAAGTTTTCTGATTGAAGCCCCCTTCTTGGCATTACCAGAGTTCTGAGAGTGAGAACTTCTATAACTTTAATGAAAACCCAGGTCTCCAAATCCTTTAGGAGAAGGAAGCCATGACACTTCATCTCATATCAGGTCCAGAGAGATATACAGGGTTAAAGGTAAAGATTCCCCCCCCCCGCACAGGCGTGCTAGTCATTCCTGACTCTAGGGGGTGGTGCTCATCTCCGTTTCAAAGCCGAAGAGCCGGCGCTGTCCGAAGATGTCTCCGTGGTCATGTGGCCGGCATGACTCAACTCCAAAGGCACACGGAACACTGTTACCTTCCCACCAAAGGTGATCCCTATTTTTCTACTTGCCTTTTTTATGTGCTTTCGAACTGCTAGGTTGGCAGAAGCCGGGACAAGTAACAGGAGGTCACCCCATTATGTGGCACTAGGGATTCGAACCGCCGAACTGCCGACCTTTCGATTGACAAGCTCAGCGTGTTAACCACTGAGCCACCACGTTCAGGGTTACATACATCCTAATTCCACATCTTTGTTTAATACAAGGTTATCTGCTGTGCATATGCACCACACCTATAAAACACAAGTGACGCTTCCCTTGCACCATTGTGGGGCCCCATCCTGACTTTCTTGTAGAAACACCCATCTCCATAGACGTTGGAGGCCAAGTGGCTTCCTGGAAGCAGAAACCTAGAACCTCTGAAGACCTCTGAAGTGGTCCAGGAGCTAAGATTGGGGTTGCCAAGCAGAAGAATCTCCCTGCCTGCTTTCCCCTTTTAAGGCCCCCTACCTTGGCATAGGTGTGACCTTAGAAAGATGGAGAAAAGTAGGAAAGTGTTAGAATAGCTGGTCATGGTTTCCTCAGCCTTGGCTTCTCCCCATGCTGACTTCATAGCGACTTTGTCTTGGGAATCCGTGACACGCCCAGCATTCTTGACAACATTCTGACAGCATAATCTCTGCCCAATGGAGGAGACAAGAAACCAGGTCCTCAACGTGGCCGGAGAAGATCCCAAACAGGACATCTTCTAATAGGTTGACCTTCTTGAGGTGGCACACACCTATTCCTGCTTCTTCACTCCATCATTCCTCCTAGTTCCTCCTCAGCCTCCGATGATGGTTCTCTGAGCCCTCTGGTCCTTGGGATCTACAACCCTACAATCAGGGATGGGCTGTTGGGGGTTCACAGGGGTTTGGGAGAACCTCTAGCTAAGATTCTGTGCAGTTTGGAGAACCCCCAAATCACAATATGGGCTGGCCCCACCCACCCCACCCCTCCCCTCCCAGGAGTCCCCATGCAGCCCAATTTGGATGCAGGAAAGTGAAGGGCGCACGCAGAGGCTCGGAAAAGCAAAAAACGGGGCTACCAGAAGTTTGAGAAGGCCAGAAATCAGAGCCTGGGGAGGCTATTTTTGCTCTCCCGGAGACTTGAGCAAAGCCTCCAGAGCCTGGGGAGGGCAAAAATGCCCTCCCCACCATGGTGCAGGAGGCTGAACAGGCCACGCCCACCATGGCCACGCCCACCCAGCAACCAGGCAGAGAACCCCTTCCTAAAATTTTTGAAGCCTACCCCCTGCCTACAATGCAGGTCTAAGGACCACAAGGTACATCTGAGCAAAGCCATCGGGATAGGCCAGAATATCAGAAGAAGGGCCCAGCTCATCTGGTTCCAATAAGAATTTGCTAAAATCTCAATCAAGCCCATCTCCCTTTGGAAGTCTTTGTCCAAAAAAAATCCTAGGAAGCCCCCCAATTTTGCAATTCACACAGAGATTAGCATTTTAACACCTTTCTTCCCAAAAGGCCAGATGATGTTTGTATCCTCCCCGTTTAAATCCCAATTAAACTTTTGACCCTGGTCGCATTCCAAACCAGGTTTTAATGATGGGTTGTGTTTAAGAAAAAGAGGGGTGCGTGGGGGGGGGTGTCTTTTGTCTGCACCTGTGAATTTTCCAAAGAGAATTCTCCTTTAAATCTTAGATAATGAGAAAGATTCCTTCCACTTTCTCTCTTCCACTTAGGTCGGCCTCCTTATCAGCTTATTCTTTCTTTCTTTCTTTCTTTCTTTCTTTCTTTCTTTCTTTTTTTTAAAGGACAAAAAAGGAAGGGCTTTTAATCCTTTGGGGGGGCGGTCTTTATTGTAGAATCTACACTCCCAGTTTGTAAGGAGATTCTGCCTCTCTGAAATAATCACTCGAGCTGTGGATTCACAGCCTCAGATTTAGGTTTGGTGATGGGGATCATTGGCCACTCCTTCCCTTTCCCCCCAGTCACACACAAAGAGACACACAGTGTGTGCGCACATGCACACACACACAGAGACAGAGAGAGAGAGAGACAGAGAGAGATGGAGAGACAGAGACAGAGAGATAGACAGAGAGAAAAAGAGAGATAGACAGAGAGAGAGAGAAAGACAGAGAAAGACAGAGACAGAGACAGAAAGAGAACACACAGAGAGAGATAGAGAGAGAAAAAGAGAGAAAGAGAGAGAGACACACACAGAGAAAGAGACAAAGGGAGAGAGACAAAGTGAGAAAGAGAGAAAGAGAGAGAAAGAATATCAGAGAGAGAGAGAAAGACAGACAGACACAGAGAGATAGACAGGCAGGCAGAGAGACAGAGAGAAAAAGAGAGACAGAGAGACACACATACACAGAGAGAGAGAGAGGCAGACAGACAGAGAGACAGAGAGACAAAGAGACAGAGACAGAGAGACAGAAGAAGAGACAGAAAGAGAAAGAGAGAAAGAGAGAGAGAGAGAGAGAGACGGAGAGAGAGAGAAAAAAGAAAGAGAGAAAGAGAAAGAGAGAGAGCCAACCTACAGGCCTTCCTGTCCTCTACCATCCTCTGGAGTCCATTTAAGCTCACACCAACTGCTTCAGTGACTCCATCCAGCCACCTCATTCTCTGTCATCCGCTTCTTCTTTTGCCCTCCATCGTTCCCAGCATGAGGCTCTTCTCCAGGGAGTCCTTCCTTCTCATTAGGTGGCCAAAATATTTGAGTTTCCTCTTCAGGATCTGGCCTTCTGTATCTGAAGTACTTTGCTGCTTGGATGGTTTTCATTATTCGAAACAGAGCCGGTGTAACTCATTTGCAAGGTTAAGAGGAGCAGAAGAAGCCAGAAATACTAAATCTCGCAGCTCATAGGCTATGCTACATTAAATTGACTTAGCGGGCACCCAAATCTGCAAAAACATTTTCAGGATTAAGCAGAAAGAGAGAAGAATTCACAGGGGAAAAGCATCCATCAGACCAGGGACTTTATATAGCCTTGACTATACGCACTTTTGTTGGCAGGGTGATGTCTCTGCTTTTTAGTATGTTGTCTAGATTTGCCATAGCTTTCCTCCCCAGGAGCAAGCGTCTATTAATTTCTTGGCTGCAGTCCCCATCTGCGGTGATCTTGGAGCCCAGGAAAATAAAATATGCCACTACCTCCGTTTCTTCCCCATCTATTTGCCAGGAATTGAGAGGGCCGGGTGCCATGATCTTAGTTTTCTTAATGTTGAGTTTCAAGCCAACTTTTTCACTCTCCTTCTTCACCCGCATCAAGAGGCTCTTTAGTTCCTCTTCGCTTTCTGCCATTAGAGTGGTATCATCTGCATATCTGAGGTTGTTGTTATTTCTCTCGGCAATCTTAATTCCAACTTTTGATTCATCTAGACCGCCTTTCTCATGATGTGCTCTGCATATGAGTTAAATAGGCAGGGCGACAGTATACAGCCTTGCCGGACTCCTTTCTCAATTTTGAACCAATCAGTGGTTCCGTGTCCAGTTCTCACTGTTGCTTCTTGATCCGCATACAGGTTTCTCAAGAGACAAATAAGATGGTCTGGTACTCCCATCTCTTTAAGAACTTGCCACAATTTGTTGTGATGCCACACCATCAAAGGCTTTAGCATAGTCAACGAAGCAGAAGTAGATGTTTTTTTCTGGAACTCCCTAGCTTCCTCCATGATTGAGCACATGTTGGCAATTTGATCTCTAGTTCCTCTGCCTCTTCGAAATCCTGCCTGTACTTCTGGTAGTTCTGGATCCACATACAGCTGGAGCCTAGCTTGCAGGATTTTAAGCATAACTTTACTAGCATGTAAAATGAGTGCAACGGTGCAATAGTTTGAACATTCTTTTGGGACTGCCTTTCTTTGGAATTGGAATGTAAACTAACAACTAGACTAGCCATACCCCACTCCTGCCCAGTCGCCTCTTCTTTTTTTTTGCTTTAATTTCTATGCCGCCCTTCTCCAGAGACTCAGGGCGGCTTACAATGCGTTAAGCAATAGCCTTCATACTTTTGTATATTTATACAAAGTCAGCTTATTGCCCCCACAATCTGGGTCCTCATTTCACCTACCTTTGAAAGGATGGAAGGCTGAGTCAACCTTGAGCCTGGTGAGATTTGAACTTGCAGCAATTGCAAGCAGCAGATGTTAATAACAGTGCTTTAGTCCACTGTACTACAGGCTCTTACAATGTCTTTGGGACATTTGCTGGGACTTTTCAGAGTCTTTCCTTTTCTTGTCAATTTCCAACGGAATCCATTTCGGGTTTTTTTTTTTTTTTAATTTGATTTATATGCCGCCCTTCTCCGAAGACTCAGGCCAACTTACAGTACGTTAAGCAATAGCCTTCATCCTTTTGTATATTTATACAAAGTCAGCTTATTGCCCCCACAACTGGGTCCTCAATTTACCTACCTTAGAAAGGATGGAAGGCTGAGTCAACCTTGAGCCTTGGCGAGATTCGAACCCTGCAGTAATTGCAGGCAGCTGGTCTTAATAACCAGCTTAATAACAGGGTGCCTTAAACCCCTGTACTACCAAGGCTCTTCTTCGGCTGCCCAGAGGACAGCACCACCGCCAGCAGCAACAGCTCCGAACCTGGAGAGGCGAACCACCCTGCCAAAAATCCCTTACCCGGACGGAGCATCTCTCCAATTTTACGCACGGGGGAGAGGGGGGGGCGATCCAGGAAAAGGCGCAGGGAGGGTCCCCAAACCGCTCGTCCCGTCCGCTCGTGCGGGGAACAGCTTGGGAGGTGTGCCGCGGGCGTTGCTGGCGGCCGGGACGAGCCGGGACGGGTCGGGTAGAGGCGAGGGGTCCGCCCCAAAGAAGCGGCGGGCATGGTGTATGGAGCTGCTGGGCGGCGCGCCACGCGCGCTTGGATGGAAGGAGGCGCCCGGCCAAGAAGGGGACGAACCGGGCTGGGGAGCCGCGCCTCCGCCGGCCGGGTCCGCCTTGCGCCTCGGCCAGCCTGCAGGGCGGCGTTCCGGCCTCCGAAACGCCGCCTTCTCCTCTTCTTCCTCCTCCTCCTCCTGTTTGCACGGAAGGCAAGCGCGCTTTTCTCTGCGCCCCCCCCATCCCCGGCCGCCTCTCCAACGATGCTGCCCCGCAGTCGCCTCCGGCCAGCCTGAGCGCCCTTGGCTCGGCTCGGCTCGGTTCGGTTCGGTGCTCCTGCAAGGGGGGCTCGGCGCGAGGAGGAAGAGGAGGAGGCGGCGGCGAAGAAGAAGAAGAAGAAGAAGGCTGCACCATGCGGAAAAGAGGCAGCGCGCCTCCACGCCGCCGGTGACCCCGGCCCGGGGCTGAGCGGAGGCTTGGGGCTGGGGGGCGGCCGGGCCGCTGCGGGTCTCTTCGCCCGCCAGGCCCGCAGCGCAGCGCTGCGCCGCCCCTTGCGCGCCCCTCGGCTCTCCCCGCCGCTGCGGCACTTCCACCATGCTGCGCCGCCAGCTGCACCGCTTCGTAAGTTCCTGCCGAGGCCGGGCAAGAGGGGAGAGGGAGGGTCTCTCCCGGGTGGAGGGTCGTCTCCTTTCCCCCCCGCTCCCCAGCCTTGGAAGGCCTGCTTGCGCCCCCCCCTCCCATCCTTTGCAATGCCCACCGCCCAGGCTTCTCCGATCGGTGGAGGGGCTGCGCTCTCCTTCCTTATGGATTCGTCCCGATCTGTTTGGGAAGGGGCAGCTGGGCAGGATCCTCTCCCGCAGCTGGAGGAGGGGAGATTAACCCTTGGCCGGAGCCCCGGTTCCTTCCTTGGCCCTCTCCCCACCCACCCACCCGCGGATAAAATTGGTCCCTTCGCTTTCTTCCCCCTCACCATCCTTCCCCGCCGGTCCTTTTGTTCTCCCCGGCTTCCAGGGAGCAGATGGGGAGAACGTGGTTTTTTTTTTCCCCTGACCCTTATGGGGGAGGGTGTGTGTGGGTTTGCAGGGGGGGGGGGGGGGGTGTCCCCTGGCTTTCCAGAGCTTGCCAGCTCCGTGCCATTGGGGGGCGGAGGAGAGGTTGAGCTGAGTGCCCAGGCTGGAGAAAGAGGAAGGTGGAAATTCCCACCACCCCATCTCCCTGCGAGACTTGAGCGATACCCAACGCTGTGAGAATGGGTGACATGGGGAGGTGGGGAGGTGGGGGGTGTTGTTTGCATTTCAGCAGGAGGGTTGAAAAAAATAGAAAAGTAGCAAAGGATCTCCTGGGGCACTTTGCCAGAGAGAGAGAGGAAAAGCCGAACCTCCTTGCAAACAGAAAGCTAGTCCCATCAGCAACAGGCCAGCCTGAAAACCTGATGAGCTAGCTCTTTGGTTGCAGGGAGATGGGCTTTTTTCTCCCTCCAGCAGGCTGTCTAAAATTAGAGAGGATCCATGCCAACAGTCATATTCTCCCACCCCCACCCCCAACCCCGTTCCCTTTTTCTTCTTTGCTGCTGCTGAAATGCAAGAAAAACATTTATTTGGCTTTTTTTCTTTTGGTCTCTCTGTGGCCCAGCAAGGGATGCTGCCTTATAAAAACAAGAAAGGTTCACACTTGAGAATCATACAGACACACACACTCACACACACACAGGCCTGTCAGGGTGTGTGTGTGTGTGGGTGTGTGTAGCAATCTGCCTGCAAAACTCTCCTGGCTGTTGAAGGCCTTGTCAAAACCAGGAGGGCAGGAGAGAAGAGATAATAAGCCATTGTTCTTCTAGAGATTAAAACTCCTTCTTGTAATTCCAGCACTTTTTGTTTCTCACAATCCGTCCTGTCCTTCGGGGGAAGTTTTGTTTAACTGCCTACAAGGACGATGCGTTTTTTTAAATTTAATTTTATTGATTTGCATCCCGCCTTTACGATTTGTTTTACAAATCACTCAAGGCGACAAACATATTCAACACATGTCCTAAATGTGTTTTTTTCTTCTTTTTTTTTCCCCCCCAAGAGGCGACTGGACTTCCTTGGTTTTTCTTTGAAGACGTTTCGCTTCTCATCCTCAGAAGCTTCTTCGGCTTCTCTTGGAAGCTTCTTTCGCTTCTCTCAGAGCTGAGGAAGCTTCTGGGGTGAGAAGCGAAACGTCTTCAGAGAAAAACCAAGGAAGTCCAGTTTGCTACATTTGCAACAGTCTTCAGACTTGCTACTTTCGTTGTGTTGCGGCTTTGTGTTTGTTTATAGTGGGCCTGCTATTTTTTTTTACATCGGAAAACACAACATTTTCCTTTTTTCCAGTAACCCGAAGCTGAATAAATTGCCATTGGGGCACCTTCGGAAATGCAAAAGAATTTGATTCTGGATTTGATTGCTTCATTAATTCATTGCTTCTGGAAAAAGGAAACATAACGCCTGCGGAAAATTATTCTTAATTTTAATGCGAGGGGAACCTTTACCTTAAGGTAAAGGTTCCCCTCGCACATATGTGCTAGTCATTCCTGACTCTAGGGGGCAGTGCTCATCTCCGTTTCAAAGCCGAAGAGCCAGCGCTGTCCGAAGACGTCTCCGTGGTCATGTGGCCGGCATGAATAAACACCAAAGGCGCACAGAACGCTGTTCCCTTCCCACCAAAGATGGTCCCTATTTTTCTACTTGCATTTTTTAAGTGCTTTCAAACTGTTAGGTTGGCAGAAGCTGGGACAAGTAACGAGAGCTCACCCTGTTACACTGCTCTAGGGATTCGAACCACTGAACTGCCGACCTTTCGATCGACAAGCTCAGCATTTTAGCCACTGAGCCACTGCATCCCTTATTTAATTCTTTAAAGGTCTCCAATTAGGGTTGGTGCTATTGATGTAAGGTGCTACCTGTTCTGTTGGATTGACCTGCATACATTTATGTCACCCTTTAAATACACACAAACACACCTGATGGCGTTTTTTTTTTATCTTTGATTCTTTTATTTAAATGAATGGTGTTTATTTCAGTTAAGGGTTAACATTTGAAGAGGTGCCAGCCGGATGAGTTCAGGGTGGGGAACTGCAAAAGCCTAGAATGCAAAAATGATATATAATAATGATATGTGACTTAAAGATTCGGGAAAGCTACCCGTTTCTAAAAATAGGTGAGCCTTCATTGTGGTGTCAGATATTGTGTACCTGCTGCCAAGATTGTTTTGGTTTTTTTTTTAAATGGAGCTTATTGCTAAGGCTCGAAAAAGATTGGCTTCCAAGCTGAGCTTTGAAGACTAGCCTATTGCAGTCATGGCGAACCTTTTCAGCACCTAGTGCCCAAACTGGAACATGCATGCATCAGTGGTGGGTTGCCCCCAGTTCCCACCGGATATATAGAACCGGTAGTAAAACTGGCGGGAGGCTCCGCCCTCTGACCCTGACATCATCAAAACGCTTCTGCGTATGCAGCGGCCCCGCAGCGGCCCAGCTGCGAACCGGTAATAAAGGTAAGTAGAACCCACCCCTGGCGTGCATGTGGGTGCATGTGTGCGCACCCAGCCAGCTAGTGTTTGGGTTTCTGGCATGCCAGCTGGTCTTCGCGCACTGGATCACCGGAAACCCAAAGTCCAGCTGGCTGGCGCATGCATGACTGTTTTTTGGGGCAATTTTTGGCTGTTTTCAGCCTGTTTTTCAGGCCGTTTTCAGGCTGATTTTTGGGCCATGTTTGGCCCCAAAATGGCTTGAAAACAGCCTGGAAAATGGCCCAGAAAAGGCCCAGAAAACAGCCCAAAAAATGGTCTGGTTTTTGGCTGGTTTTGGCCATTTTTCAGGCTGTTTTCAGGTCGTTTACTGGTCCTCCGACACCCGCGAAGACCAGCTGGTCAGCGCGCATGTGCACACCAGTGGTGGGTTCTACTTACTTTTACTACCGGTTCGCAACGGGGTCGCGCGTTCTGATGATGTCGGGGTCGGTGGGCGGAGCCTCCCGCCGGTTTTACTACCAGTTCTATAGAACCGATGCAAACTGGGGGCAACCCAGCACTGATGCACACCCAAAACCAGAAGCGCATCTGGCAGTTCCTGCATCTGTTCTTCATGTGTTTTAGCCTCCAGTCCCCTCATCATCTTTGTTGCTCTTCTCTGTACTCTTTCTGGAGTCTCAACATCGTTTTTACATCGTGGTAACCAAAACTGGATGCAGGATTCCAAGTGTGGCCTTACCAAGGCCTTATAAAGTGGTATTAACACTTCACGTGATTTTGATTCTATCCCTCTGTTTATGCAGCCTAGAACTGTGTTGGCTTTTTTGGCTGCTGCTGCACACTGCTGGCTCATATTTAAATGATCATAACATAAGAATGGGAGGCCATCCAAAGTTTTTCTCAATCCTGGGTGAACTCATTACAGAAGGTTCTTTGGCGGCTTCGGATAATCCGAAAACTTGTTCTTAAGGATGAGAAGGGTTGTGAGTTTGCTCCGTCCCAGTTATTAGCTCCAGAAATTTCCTGAGAATATCCAAAGTCTGTTGAGATGAGAGAGTCCCTTGGTCTTCCTAGCCTCCCCATCCATGTCCTTTGTTTAGATGGAGTAGTAACCATCCAGCCATGTTCAAAGCATGAAATACTCCGTTTGGCTTTCCAAATTTTCCCAAGATAAGATAAGAACTTGGATGGCAGGAAAAGCTGTGGATTGTTTCCCATTTTATTCTTCTGGAGAACGGCATGTCCATTGGTAGGAAAGCTGAGATCCTCCAGATGCTGGCATACTCTACCTCTTTCTTATTATGGACAGTCAATAGAAGGGCAAACTTTTCTAAACATAGTAGCAGAAAAAGTCATGTGTGAGTTCAATCAGTTACACTCTGTTGTTTGCTCTCACCTACAAATAAGGGTAATTCTCTCAAAGTCCTAGGTTAGAAATGTTCTAATTAATTTCTAAAGTCAGTATTTCACTGACTTATTCTGGTTGGTCGGTTCCTAAACTGCTCACATTTTAAGCGGTCCTTTTTCACCTTTAAATATGCTTTTAGCTGTCATTTCTGTTTTACATTTACCCGCCTGTGGCTTATTTTAGGCTCTTCAGCCTTTCTCTTAAGTTGTTGTCATTTCTGTCACTTACTTTAATCCCTTTAGTTCCATCTTTACGCCTTCTGTTCTGTTCCCTTTGTGCTCGCTAATGAACCACAATAAAGATAGATTTGATTACACTCTCAGCTAGCCAGGAGATGTTTCCAGTGCTGGGCTCTTCCCGTCTTTTTCCTCTGCTGTATTAGGAACACAGTGGCTGAGACGCTGAGTTTGTCGATCGAAAGGTTGGCAGTTCGGCGGTTCGAATCCCTAGCGCCACGTAACGGGGTGAGCTCCTGTCCTTGTCCCAGCTTCTGCCAACCTAGCAGTTCGAAAGCACCTTTAAAAAGGCAAGTAGAAAAATAGGGACCACCTTTGGTGGGAAGGTAACAGCGTTCCGTGCGCCTTTGGCATTGAGTCATGCCGGCCACATGACCTCGGAGAAGTCTTCAGACAGCGCTGGCTCTTCGGCTTTGAAACGGAGATGAGCACCGCCCCCTAGAGTCGGGAACGACTAGCACATATGTGTGAGGGGAACCTTTACCTTT